ATTGAATTCTTGAGAAGAAATTCATTATTTTTAAAATCATTGAATTCTTGCGAAGAATTTTATGAAAATAGTTGAACTTTTGTAAAAAAATTACGTTATTAATAAAAATAATTTAATTTTTAATAATTCAATTTAATAATTGAATTCTCGCTAGAAATTTTATTATTTATAAAAAATGATTGAATTCTTGCGAATAATTTTATTGAAATATTTCGAAAATAATTAAATTCTTTTGCGAAATTTTATTAAAATAGTTGATATTGAAAATAATTGAATCGCTTAAAAGAATTTTATTAAATTTTTTCTAAAAAGTTTATTCTATTTTATTTTATTTCTGAACTTCTAGCGAATTTAAAGTATTGCAAATTGTCAAAAGAAAAAAAAAGAGAAAAAAAGCAAAAAGTATCTTTTAGTGTCACAAGTATAAAAAAAAGTAGTCAATAGTAGTAGGTTTTAGTATAGAAGAGTGCGAAGCCTCTCTTTCCCTTTATTCTGAATTAAAGAAAATTACGAAATCGATTTTAGAATGATTGAGAAAATTTCTCGCACAAAGTCATTGACAGAAAATAACACATATATATATAGTCGGAAAAACTCCGGCAGATGTATGTGTTCGAATGTATGTAGGAGACGTTATATACGAGGGAACGGTTGGTCCGTAATACAAATGCACCCTTGGGGCTTCCCGCCCCCAATTGCCCCACTTACAGATCATACGCTTCCTTATTCAACTTTTCCCGCATTCTATCGTGACTAGAAAAATTTCGCTCCTACACACATTTCAATTTTTCAGTTTCAAATCACATTTTTTCCCTTCTCTCTCTAAATATATTGGCCAAAATTATTTATTCGCACCTAATAAACAATTTTGGCCAATTTATTCATTATTCGGACTTAATAGGTTCTAATAAATCATTTTTGCCAATATATTTAGAAAGAAAAGGGAAAAATGTGACTCAAAACTAAAAATTAAACCTATTATTAGAACAAAAATTAAAATTATAATTGAAAAGTTTTTAGTTCACTAAAAAGAAAAAGACCGTTCAATGCGCGCGCAGTGTTCTTGACGAGACGCGACGAGAATGCTGCGCGCGCAGATTAGGAGTGGGGATGAGTAAATTCTGATTGGTCGCGTCCTTCCCCCACCATAACGGGTACAATGCGCCGCGCAGTGTTCTCAACAGGAGATCATAGATTACTATTATAAATAATAACAATAATAAAAATAATAATAATTATAATAATAATGCTGATAAAAAAATATTAATAGTTATTTATTTATAATAAATAAAAGGACCTTATTATTATTATTGTTACTTTTATCTGTATTATTATTTTATAGGATAAAAACAAATAATTATAATCGTATGAATAATTTAATTAATTTCTTTTATAATTATATACATAATTGTATATAATTATATAAGAAATTATATTTAATTAAATTTTCTTATTTTTGTATACATTTCAGAAAAGAAAATAATTAAATCGTCTTAATTGAAAGTCACTTGATATAATCAATAAATCTACAATATATCAATTTTCTCGGTTCCATTAATTTTATCGATTATAAATGTCTCTTTTATTTACTGTTTTTTTTCTCCCTTGTTCTCTCTCATCTTCCGGAAAGAAGAAAGGAATCGTTGAAAAGACTAAAAAAAAGGAATTGAGTTGTGCGCATTGATTTCAAGTTTCGGTTGGGTCATTTTTCTTTTGTTTGAGTTTTCTTCCATATTATTCCCTCGAGTGCGACTTAGAAACACGGAGAGAAAAGTTTTCAGTCTTTATTTTCTCAATAAATGAAAAACGAAAAAAAAATTTATTTTCTTCAACTTTGTCTCAAAAATCTCGATTATATGTATATTGTTATGTACACAAGAAAACGAAATAAAAAATATTAATAATCAAACGCATTTATAATGAAAAAGAAAATTTTAAAAAAGAAAAAAATAAATAAAAGTAAAGAAGTGAATAAAAATATAGAAGTAAATAAAAATAAAGAAATGAATAAAAGTACAAAAAAGAATAAAAATAAAGAAATTAATATAAATAAAGAAATGAATAAAAATAAAGAAAAATAATAAAAATAAAGAAATGAATAAAAATAAAGAAATGAATAACAATAAAGAAATAAATAAAAATAAAAAGTAGATAAAAACTAAGAAGTGAATAAAAATAAAGAAATAAATAATAACTAAAAATAAATAAAATACAAAACATGAAGAAATAAAAAAACGTAAATAAAAGTAAATAGAAATAAATAAAATATAAAGTAAATAAAATAGTGAATCATTGAAAGTAATGCTGCTTTTTTCGTCCACAGCTGTTGGATTCTCGAGAATTGCTTCAACTTTTTTGCAGCAGTGATGAAAAAGAAAAAAAATTAATAATTTTAAAATACTATCGAATTTTTTAGCAAAATATCAATCTAGTTTTATTAATAATTATAAAAAAAAATATTAAAATACTTGATAGACTACGAATCAACTTCTAATATTACTATTAAAAAAAAAATCTTCTTTACCTCGCAATAAAAAATTCATCCACATTGCATACGAGCATTTTTAGTGACTCTTAATGAAAAAATTCCCCCTCGTCATAATTGAAAACTTTATCTCATAAATTGAAAGTCATATAGCAGTTAAAAAATTAAAAACTTAAAAATACGAATATTGCGACGTGAAAAAAAATATCAAATAATTAAAATCTAAAATTAAAAAAAACTTAATTACTCCACGAAGTTGTTACCTTTTATAAAAGAGTAGGTATTTTAAGTATCAAAAAAAAGGAGAGAAAAAAAATTTTTGTTTCGTGAAAAACAAGAAATTATCCATAATGTTAGTTTCTCTGGAATTTTTTTTTTGTTTTCTTTTATTTCATTAGCAATTTTTTTTTTTTTTTTGGCAAGAAGTGTAGCTTTTTTTTAATAGCAACTTGTATACAGAAGTGATTCGCGACTCTAACAACGTCGTAAAGGCAAAATCCCACGAAGCTTGGCAATCCGTGACCTAAATTCTCTATAATACCCAAATACTATTTGTCTTTCGCATATCTATATACATGTTACAAAATTCATGATATTACAAAACCATTTTCACTCTGCCAAGTTATACCACTGCGATGTTATACTTTCTGCGAGCCTTTCAACGAATGAATCGTTATAGAGTCGCGATGAATGAATTCTCTGTTTAATTCTTATGAGACGAGTGATTTTTTTCAATTGGCGTCAAAATAACTTTAGATAATATTTTTTTGTTCATTTCATTTATTTTTGTTTATTTTACTTATTTTTATTTATTATCTATTTATTTTTATTTGTTTTCTGTTTATTTTTATTCATTTTCTGTTTATTTTTATTCATTATGTTTATTTTATTTATTTACTTTCTGTTCATTTTATTTATTTACTTTCTGTTTATTTTTTTAAATTACAATTGCCCTCACGGTCTTGGATTGATTATAATTTGTTAAATTAATTATTAAACTTGGTTGCGTCAAGAGAAAAAGTCGAGAAAGTTGCGGAGAGGGGAGTCAGTGAACTGTGATTGGTCGGCTCATTCCCCCACTTCGGTAAGTGAAATGCGCGCGCAGTGTTCTTGACGAGACGCGACGAGAATGCTGCGCGCGCAGACTGGGAGTGGGGAGTCTGTGAACTCTGATTGGTCGCGTCCTCCCCCCACCACTTCGGCTTCAATGCGCCGCGCAGTGTTTTTCAGAAGAGATCGTAAATTAATTTTATAAATAATATTATTAATTAAAAACTAAAGCTAATTAATTTATACTCAGTAATTAATTAATAATTAACGATAATTAATCCTTATATGAAAAGAGTAGATATGCAAATTAGGTAAAGGAAGACATTATGTTATTTATTTTGAAAATATTTATTATAATATTTATTTTTATTTATTTATTATTATTATATACTAGCTAAAATAATTATTATATAGTTAATTTATTCCCATTAATTATTATTTTTTATTTTATTTTTGCTTAGGGAAAAAATACTGTAAATTACTTGAAATAATTAATTTGAGATTGACAAGATTTTTTACACGTGATAAATTATTACTTTTTGTACATTTTCTTTTCACTTTGATTTCGTAGATAGTTTCGACAGTTGAGGTGTTTTCGTGTTTTGTAAAACAGCCGAGGGCGCCGAGGGGAAAAGTCAATTAAAGTGTGATTTAGGGTGAATTTTTATTTATTAAGATGGAGAAAAAAAAATGATTTTGAGTATAGTTGATCAGGGAGAATGATAACTGTCGAAAACAATGTAAAACTTAATTTAATTACATCCATCAAATGAAATTTAATTAAATCAACTTTATTGAAATGTTAACGGGAGAAAAAAGTTCATTTGGATTCTGATTTTTATCGCTTTTATTACAATTCTCCAATTACTGTATTTTTTTCTTTTATTTCACTTTTACACTGAAGGGCCGTAGGGTATTTAGTTTTGAATTTTAAATATTAAAATCAGATATAATTTTCGAGAATTGAATTAGTTTTTCGATAATAAAATAATCTTTATGTATTAATATAATAAATATTTATATAAATGTATAAATAATATTTAAGGCTCAGACCATTATATTTCGAATAAATATTTATATAAATATAAATGTATAAATAAATTTTTATTATTTCTAAATATTAAGTTATATTAAAAATTAATATTAGAATGAATATTAAAGTAAATATTTATTTATTTTGTACCCGACATGGTGGGGGAAGGACGCGACCAATCACGGCTCACTGACCCCCCCACTCTAATCAGCGCGCGCAGCGGTCTCGCCTTCTTCCTCGAGACTCAACGAGATAAAAACGTTCCTATTCTGACTAAAACTATTCACAGCATTAATTTTCAGTATTTATTTAATTTTCTCTTCACACATTTATATATTATATTATTTACATTATTACAAATAATATAAATAATTGAAATTAAATTTAAAAAAGTGATTTTCCTAATTACAATTAATAAAAAAGTGTCTTAAAATTATTTTCGTGTAAAAATGCAAATGACTTACTCGGTTTGATTATCCTCGAAGGTGAGTGTGCCCTCGAGATGCTCGTATTGCTTGCCGGGTTTGGCGGTTCCCTCGACTGTTCGATAAGGAATAATGACACGTCCTCTCGCCCCGCTATATCGCACTACACGCAAATTGTACTGGCCAACGCTTTCAACTAATTCCACGTCCCTTTCGGGAAATCCAAATATTCCACTGTGATCGTCGTCAAGGATCATAACTGTCGCTAAACTCGGCGACACTAGCATTGCCGGTTGCGACACATTTGTTAATCTGCAAAAAAGAAAATAAATTTATTATTTATTATTATTTTTAAAGTTAAAAAGAAAAATGGGGTAAAATGACCCAAGTGCATCTAGGGAACAATAATTCAATTAAAGAAAATCCCAACTTTTTTTATAAACAAATTTTTATGAAAATAAAAAATTTTATTTTCTAAATAAATAAAGTGGATTTTATTTAATAATTTTTTCTTTTTATTAAAATTTTATAAACGAGGTAATTAGAAGTGCTAACTAATTTATTATTAATTAGTGGGTCATTAATTATTTTGCAAAATTAAAATTCTTGGGAGGAATATTATTAACATTTTTATAAATTATTAAATATCCAGAGAAAAATTTTATTATAATTAAAGAAATAATTGAATTCTTATGATGAAGTTTACTAAAATATTTGAAAATATTTAACTTCCTGAGAAGAATTTTATTTTATTTGTAAAAATAATTGAATTCTTGTAAAGAATTTTATTAAATATTTCAAAATAATTGAATTTCTGTAAAAAATAAAAATATAATATTTCATAAACTAAAACTTTACAGTTATTTTATAAAGTAATATTATTTCTAGACTAAAGTTAAAAAATAATTTGATAAAACGAATTACAAATGTTATTTTATTATAATTTAATTACAAAGTCAATTTTTTTATTTTAACTAAAACTATAGTTATCTTATAACATTACGTTATTTATAGACGAAAGTTCGAATATGATTTTAAGAAGTAATTAGAAAGTTTTTTTATAAAGTAAAGTTTTAAATTCTTATGAAATGTTTTAATACAGAATTTTTCTAATATAAAAGTTTCATAAAAATAAATAATGTCATAAAAGTAGTGATTAAATAATTTTATACTTAAAAAGTATTTATTTTAGTTATATAAAGGTTTACCTTTATATAAATAAAATAAATAAAACTTTAAATTTTACAATTTAAGTTTAAAAATAAAAAAGTATTTATTTTATTTATATAAAGGTTTAATTTTATATAAATAAAATACTCTTTTATTTTTAAACCTAAATTAAAAAATTTAGTTTTAAAATTGTCGAATAATAATTGTTACGAGAGCAAATTTTCTTGTAAAAAAAATATTAAATCATTTGTCAATAAATTTTTATAGTTCCAAACGACATTTGATATTTTTTTCTAAGCTTGTCTATAAATTTGCATATAAAACAAATAAATCATTTAAAAAGAAATTATAATCCACCAGTCTAATAATTTATCATCCAAAAATACTATAATTAAAAGAAGGGTAGTTCTAGTTTTTTTTAATATAAAAAAATCATTTTAATATCGAAATCTCTTCCGAATAATAATAATTGAAATAGCTTAGTTTGACATCAGTTTTTTTTCTCGATTAATAAATGGGGCATTGGATTATTATAAATATTATTTTTTTTTAGACATGACTAATAATTCTCCTTTCAGCTCGAAATATGACGTGAATATTTACACACACAGACACACACAAATACACAATATCCATTTATTCTCATAGGAGAAGTAAAAGGTAACTAGGGAGCATAAATGGGGAGGGAAATAGGCCGAGGATAGTATGCAACAAAATAAAATGTTGCGTGAAGGAAAATATATAGAAAAACCCAAAGGGAGTATAGTATCTTCTTCATTCTTATGCATCCATTACAACAATTTTCTAGAGTCTCAATTTTTATTCTCCATAAAGCAAAAAAAAAAAAAAGGAAAAGAGAAGATAATTTTTTCATATGCAGCAAAAAATGTCATTTTATACATTTAATCCCACGTTGTATTTTAAGATATTATTTTTTAAGTAAATCTTTACATAAATATTTATAATTCAGGTTACGCACTCATCTACTAAAATCTACTATTTCTGTTGTTTTTTTTTAGAATTTCCACTATTTTAAATTAACTAATACTAGAAATTAAAAAACTCTTCTCAAAAATTGTAATCAAATTCTTTAAAAAAAATTCAATTATTTTCAAAAAATATTCGAAACTTAATTATTTTTAATATCTAGTATAGGTATTTTCATAAAATTTCGTAAAAGAATTCAATAATTTTTAAAAAATTGATAAAATTCATCCAAAATTCAATTATTTTCATAAATAATAAAATTTATTAAATTCGACAGGGATTCAATTAATTATTTAGAATAGAATTTTTTAAAACAATTTCGAAAAAATCAAATATTTGACAAAATTTTTATACGCTTCTTCACAATAATTCAATTATTTTCACTAATAATAACATTTTTCATGGATATTCAATTGAAAAAAAAATTTTTTGATTAAATTCTTCGAAAGTATTTAATTTATTTTCATAAATAATAAAACTCATTGAAAAAATTAAATTATTTTTAATACTATTTTAAATTAATCAATCGAAAAATTCAATTATTTACACAAATAAAGTTTTCCAGAAGAATTCAATTAATTAAAATAAAATTCAGTTATTTACAAAAATATTTAAATTTTTTTACAGGATTTTCAATTGTTGTCAAAAATTTTAATAAAATTTTTCGAAGGAAATCAATTATTTTAAATACAATTTTAATTTAATTTTTTTTGAAATAATTCAATTATTCTCTTAGATTTAAATAAAACTCTTGACGAGAATTCAATTATTTACATAAATAATTCTTTGCCAAAATTATTTTACTAAAGAAAATTCTCGTAAATAGTCATCTAATGAACAACAGGAAACAACAAAAGCAATTGTTTATAAACAAATAAATTTTTGAAAGCCCTTAGCTTCGCAAAAACCGAAAATTCGATTGTCTGCTAATTGGCGGATGGAGAATTTTGACTAGTAAATTTGCCAAAATTATTTTACTAAAAAAAATTCTTGTAAATAATCATCTAATGAACAACAGGAAACAATAAAACTAATTGTTTACTAACATCTGTAATTTTTACAATTTTTTTTTCTTTTTTTTCATAATTTTTTAATTTTTATGGGCAAAAAAATCAAGTTTTCCGGGCGACGATTATTCTGAAATTATTTTTACGTATTAGTGGAGTATGTAGAAGCAATAAGCAAAAAAAAAATCGCCGGTCAAATGATAACTGCAATTTTAATAAATTTTTTTCTAATTTTTTTCGATTTTTTTAATTTTAAGGGTTGAAAATGACATCTTTCCCCTATCGATATGGGGGTTAAAATTTTTTTGTATTTATTGGGCATCGAATGAATTAATTTTATGCAATAAAATTTATGGTCTCGTTATTGGTTTATAAATAACAATTTTTTCCTATTTTTTTTAAAAATTTTTTATAATTTAGGGGTTGATTTGACAACTTTCTCTTATCGATAATGGGATGAAACTTGGTTGGTATTTATTTGGTACCTACTTGAGTGAGAAAATGCAAAAAAATTTATGGTCTGATGAAAAAATATTTTCGATGCTGAGCATCGATGGCAACTTCAGGCACCTAAATATAATTATATATATATATATATTTAAAAATATAAATAAAATAAAAAAATGTAAATAAAATAAAAGTATATAAATTTATATTTATATAATCGAGAGGGTGGAATTTATTTAAATATCCTTTTAGCCCGCGAATTGAAAAAACAATAAAAAATTTGTATGTTTAAGGAGGAGTGGGAGGGGGTAAAAAAAGAGACGATTAAATTTTCCAGTGAGGATGAGTTAATTTGCTTCATGGTAGAAATCGCGTTGCGACAAGAAAGTCTTAAGAGTACTTTAATGATTTCCCGTTTGACCTACTTAAACCCGAATGGTTTCGTATGTATATATATATATATATTGTTTTTTTTCTTTCTTAGGCCTTCATTATAAGTAATCAACACGAAAATTGTTACGTGAACAGGAACAAACCTCGGTATTATAGCTATTGTACATGATTTCATATATATTTTTTCTTAAAGCCCCATATCAAATTTCTTATCAATTCTTGGAATCCGAAAATGCTTACTTTTGCACATTCACTTTACACTCGAATAACTTCTTGTCACGCATTATGTTATTATAAGTAATTGGGCTTTTTTTGAGAAAGAAAAAAATTATTTTTAATGAACATAATATTGTATTTTAAATATTTTCAAATTAGAATAAATTACAAGGCAAGCGAAGATGATTGTTTTGCATGCAGCATTAGTTTTACTTTCGGGGAATTTTTTTTTAGCGAAAAATTGTAACTAGACAATTATTTTGTTAATTTAGAACAAAAGTGTAAAATTGCTATGAAATTATTTTAATTTTAATTAGTTAAAATAATCTTTAACGTCCGAGATCCTTTATAAATTAAGGGAAATAAAACAAAACCATTCGGACAATTCATTGTCCGAAAAAAAAAATTTTATTAATTAAAATTAAAAAAGGCAAGTAAAACGAAAACATTCGGTCAATTGATTGTCCGAAAAAAAATTTATTAAAATTAAATTAAGGCAAATAAAACGAAAACATTCGGACAATTCATTGTCCGAATGTTTTCGTTGTATGTGCCTTAATTTAATTTTAATAAACATTTTTAAAAAATGTTTTTTTAAAAAATTTTTTTTTTTATGTTAAGTTTTTGTGTTTTGGCCAAAAAGTTTACTTGGTAAATAATAAATGCTACTAAATTACGTGCGGCTGGAAATAAAAATAATTTTTTTGTCTCTCTTTATTGTTTCAGGATGCGCGACAATGGGAAAACTCTTCGGGAAACTTTTGTTTACATCTCGTGGCCGAATGTGTTGACGTTCAGTTGATGAGAACAAGGGACTCGGGTTCAATTCGAAGGTCATAAACGGTGAACATTGAAATTGAGATAAATAATAATAGAAAATACATTTTCAATTCGGTTTCGATTTGTGAATCGTCCTGTTAACATGAACGTAAATTTTATCTCTCTGTCTCTCTTGTTGAGAACGCACCGTCGACAATGCCACGTGTTTCGAACATTTGCCACTAAAATAAAAGATATTCAAAATTTTGTCGATTCAACAAAAAGTTTTATAGTTTCGGGAGTGTCGCATTTAAATTTTTTTTTTTTTTTTTTAACCGCGAACAGTGTCAGTGTGTATTTTTTTTAACGGCGTTTTCGGGAGTGTTCGAATTTAAAAAAAATCGGGTGTGTGACTTCTTCAATTTGGAAAATATTTCAGCGTCATTCTGTGATGGACAACGGTCAATGGGGGTATGCAGTCAACGGTAAGATTAAAAAAATTTTTTATAATTAAAGCAATTTGCATCTGGACGGTATGTGAGAGAATTGAAAAACAAATTTATTTCTAATTTTTAAAAATTAAAATACAAAAAAAGAATTAAATTCTTAAATATAAAAAAGAATTTTTTGATGATTGTCTTTTTGAAATTTTTTCTTCCCTAATAATTTTATTTAAAAAATTAATAAAATTTTGACAATTAAAATTATTTGTATCTGGACGGTATGTATGAGAGAATTGAAAAAAGGAATTTATTTCCCAACCTGCGGTCCTTAATTTTTAAAATACAAAAAAGAATTAGTTCTCTCTTGTCCCTTTAATTTCCCTTTTAAAAAAAATTTACAAAGAATTTTTTCCACCCAACAAACAAACATCGACTGATTTTTATTTTTTTAAAAATGCGTATTTTTCTTTGAATTCGGTTCGTAAAAAAATTTCTTTGTCCTAAATAAAGTTTTACAGTTACAAACGAATTTTTCCATGCAATTACGTTTTCAAATTTGATTTATTTTTTTAACATTTTTTTCATTTTTGAAATTTTGTAAGTAGCAAAAAAATGTTTATATTTTATCACTATAATATTAATAATAATAATAATAATATGGCTCTCAATCTAAAATATTATTTAATGCAGTTTTTTTAATAACTATCACTTTTTATTCACTTTTTTCTATTTTAAATGTAAAAAAAGAAGAGATGGAGATAAAAAAAATACATAAGAAGTCAAGCTCGAAACGAGCAATTAAATTCTGCTTAATCCTGGAACATGTATCAAGATCCCAAGAGAATATAATAGATACTTTTTATTCCTTGTTAATCTTTCTTTTCTAGTTCGTTATTTTCTATCGTTTAATTAATTTCGATACTTTTTCCAAGTAATTAGTTTTCAGTAAACATATTGAATAAAATGTAAAAATGAAAAAGAAATGAAAAAAATTCTTTTTATAATATTATAACAAAAGTAGATGTTAACATTGTTCAGAAACTTTTCAATGAAAAGAAATATTTATTCTGTTTATAATCCAGGATTGCATTAATATTTTTTAAATGAAACTATATTTTTAAAATAAATAATAAAATTATTAGAGTAATGAATAAATTGTTCGAATAATAGAACATAATATTTTTAACAAATAAAATTCTCGAATTTATTAAAATAATAAAATTTTTAGAGTAATTAATAAATTGCTCGAATAATGCAATAAAATATTATTAATTTTTGCAAAAAATTAAAGGGAATCTCATATCTATTTAATGAATCTTTCAATTTGAAATTATTTCGAGAATCTTTGAAATAAAACAAAGTAAAATATTTTCTCGTCGTTAGCAATTGGACTAATTAATTAATCTCTGTTATTTTCACATTTAAGCAGGAAGGCTGCGGGTTTATTTAACTTGTTCAAGATAAGACAGAAAACGAATTATTTCCTTTAATAGTTGCATAAGTTGTTCATAATATTATATCTGGTTAAACTTTAATTAATATAATTTAAAAATTAATTATTCACTTAAAATAATTGAATTGTTTACTGATTTTCAAAAGAAATTAAAAAATGCCGCATCAAAAATAGTAATTTTTTTTACTGCATATTCGAATATGTTTGTTTTTATTAGCTTATAAAATATTATTAAAAATAATAATGAAAATATTAAAAATACTATTAAAAATACTATTAAAAATATTAAAACTATTATTGAAAATATTGAAAATATTGAAAATATTGAAAATATTAAAAATATTATTAATAATTATTTACAATATAGAAAATATGAACAGACGAAAAAATTTAATGATAAGACTGATTATAGGTGAAATAAAATGAGTTTTATTAAAAAATAGGATATAGTTATGATAGTAATAATTTTGCTTTTGAGATAACAAAATTTTATTAGAGGTACAATAAAATTATTTAAAAGCTAAAATTATCTTGAATCTCTTTTAGTGTATTTGAAGTAAAAACTTTGATAATATACGTACTACTACTATTATTATAGTTGCTGAACTAGGAAACATCGAAATTTCCATTTTGTTTGCACTTTTAGCATTACAGTTAGTTACACATTACACAAATCTACAATCAGCATTCATCAGCCATTTAAACTAAAATTGACCCCACACCGTCGCATTTCTATAAAGTTCGTTTTAATTAATAAATTACTTGTTGATTAATTTAGAGCAAAATGTTATTCACAGTATTTTCCCAATGAGTAAAGTTATTAACAAATCGGGTTTCATTTCATTATTAATATTTTATATTAAAATATGACGAAGGGAAAATAATTATAAAGAGAATAAAAAGAATAACAATAATATTAAAAATAGTAAAATTAATAATAAAAAGAATAATAAAAAATTATTTTTTGATTAGTATTCGCAAGAAAAATAAAGATCCTTCAACTGAAAAATTCCAAGGGCACAAAGCAAAGAAGCAAATTTGAAAAATCAACTTTGAATTAATTTCTACATAATAAATTTTCCATTGAGAGTCAATTTTTTCAACATCTTTTTTTTAAATTGAAGCTAGAAAATCGGCTTTTTGTTGGAAAATCGCTTATAAAGTGCATCCCTTGAAAATCCTTTTAGTCTGATTGAACACGTGCCAGCATTTTATAGAGTTGACACTTTAAATGCTGAAACGAGCAGTTTCTGACGTTTAAAGTTTAAATTTCACTTCATATATCAAGATTGATTTTTTTTATTATCTATTTTCATCTGCTTGAACGCATACATTCGTTTCTTGTATTTATAATAATCCCCCTCCTCCCTATCCTAGAAAGGACCATGTTATCATAGAATTTCACTCATTTCTCGTTTGCTCCTCTTGTACCAAAAATGATTTTTTTTTGTACTGAAAAGAATTTTCAAGTATTTTTTTTTCTACCGAAAAGTATATTTTTACTAAAATTGACTGTCGAATATTTTTTTTATTTGCTTCCTTTAGAAAAAGCTCCGTATTGTAATAATTTCTAATTTATATTCTCTTGGGATTGAATTGCAGGAATCTGCAACGACATGTTACCGACACTATTGCGCGTGCGCGACTTTCTCAAGGTCACTGTCAATGACGTTGCACGTTCGCAATAAAGTTACCCATCTAGTTTTTGTAGTTCATGGTCCTATCATTTAGGAAACTGTTCGGTAATAGAATTTAAAATCGTTGATAATTGATAATTTACTAAATATTTAGTTGTTGATAAAATTATTTTTATAATGAAAATATTGAACAATTTGAACAATGTAATAAGCTATCAATTGTAGATATGAATATTGTAGGTGCAACCTGAGTACTGTCAATTAAATTAAATCTTCGAATTCTTGCAAATTTCAGAATGTGTGGCTATGCAGATCAATATGTATTTATAATTGTTCCCAAACTAAATTGTAATTGTATACTTGGGGCTGATATGTTAAAAGTTTTAAAAACAAAAATTGATTTTAAAAATCATATCATTCTCGTAATGAGAGGCGAAGAAGTTTTAACTATATGGAAATGCTAACAGAAAGCATAAATAAAATTAGAATCATTAATGAAGATACTAATGAATTTGAACATAAATTCGAAACTAAATCTTCAATTGAAAATAATTTCGAAACTAAATCTTCAATTGAATATAATTTCGAAAAAGAAATTTCAATTGAAAATATTGAAAGCAATGATACCAAGAAGGGAATTATTAATTAATTAAGTGGAATAGAATTCCAAGAAGAATTATTATTATTAATCAATTAAGTGGAATAGAATTTCAAGAATTTAAATTCAAATACCCACCTAACGTAGAAGTGTTCATCCTCCTCGAAGACATCATCGTCGATAACTGACAGATTGATCGTTTTTTTCGTCTCGCCAGGCTCGAACATTAGGGTCCCCTTTGCACTGACATAATCGGAACCAGCCTCGGCTGATCCATCCTCAGTGTAGTAATCGACACTGCACGGTTTATTAAGATCACCTCCCATTCGACTGACCCCAACGTCAAAGGTCCCGACATTCTCCATAACCGTATAATGACCGGGTTCGAAGAACACTCGTTGACAATTAACGGCCTCAATATCGACACTCTCGGCCTCGGCCCTCTGAAGTTCCGCCTTCACCTCACTCAAGTCACTCTGTGCCCGCTCACTTATTTTTCTACTCAAACTCCCAGCGCCCACCATTTTTCTAGTCGCCTGCACTCTGTAGAAGGCCCTGCTCTTTGGCCCCTTGCCCAAAACCTCCTCATGTGCCATCACCTCCAGATGCTCCAAACTCAATTGAGGATTTTTCTTTCTCAATTCCCTTAGGGTCTGGATATAATCCTTCCGGGTCTGCTCGAACTCCTTAGCCTCCAGGGTGTCCACATCAGCGAATCGATCTCCCATTCCATTGATGCCCTCATGCTGGGCCTTAATTTCAAGTTCGACAGCAGCATCCGAATCGCCAGCTTCGACCTCCACGATAACGCCCCGCTTGTTCATTCGGTAGCCCTTGTGGAGGTATTTGTAGATAAGCAGCCGACGATCGGCAATGTAGGCCGTGAGTACCGTGGCCGGGAAGAAGGCGAAAGTCAGTATTCCCTCCCAAACTTCCAACTCACCCGGACTGAAGACAGCTAGGATGAGATACAACCAGACGTAGGCGAATATACTCCATGTGGCGGTCACAAAAAACACTCGCAAATGCTTTATTTTCCTAGTTTCGTTCTTGGGAATCACAAAAACACAGAGAGCAATAATCACAAAGAGATTGTAGGCCGCCGAACCGACAATCGTTCCCGGACCCAAATCACCGGCTTCGAAATCCTTGGCGTAGATCTCAATGATGGAGAGGAGAATTTCTGGTGCACTGCTACCAAGGGCCATTAGGGTTAGATTCGCCACTGTCTCATTCCATACCCTCACGATTATTATTTGAGGCTCCCGGCCCTGACGCTTCACCACTAATTCCTTTTCCTGTGAGGTGATCACCTCGATAGCGGCCATAAATCTGTCGCTGACGATTGACACACCTATGAAGAGGTACATGAGTATGAAGAAGTATACCAGACCGCGGAATATTATTTCCGCTAGACTTAGATTGTCGACCGGATGCCATAGTGGGATCATCAGTCCTGCGGTACATACCTCTCTACCCATTTTTGCGCTTTTTTTTATTGTTTCGAGTCTTATCGGATCATTGTTTGGCGGGTCCGATTTCGGACTTTTTGGGTGAGGAAGTTTTTGATGATTCTAGGGAAACGGGGTTTTTGGTTACTTTTTGTTTGGTGTGGTATTTTGTACTGTTTGCCTAGAGAGAATTTCGGGTGAGGACTCCGATTTCTGGTTAGTTTTTGGGGAAAAAGGAATTCTTGGCTTTCTGAAGGGTTTTTGGTTCCTTGGGAGTCTTCTGATGTTTAGGAGGGTAGAGGAAGTATCCTAGAGTTTCTTAAGGATTTTTCGGTTCCCTTAGGGTCTTTGGAGTTTTTTTGGTGTGTAGAGAAAGTATTTTAGATTTCCTTGAGGATTTTTTGGTTCCCTTGGGGTCCTCCGAGTTTTTTAATGGATAGAGGAAGTATTTTAGATTTCCTTAAGGATTTTTCGGTTCCCTTCGAGTCTTCCGAGGTTTTTGGATATTAGAGGAAGTATTCTAGGTTTCCTTAAAGATTTTTCGGTTTCTTTGGGGTTCTCCGAGTTTTTTTGGTGGGTAGAGGAAGTATTCTAGATTTCCTTAAGGATTTTTCGATTCTAGTTAGAACTAGAATCGAGTCTTCTAGTCTTTTGCTTTTCTAGGAGTCCTCCTGCTTTTTCTTAAAAGGGAATCAAGTCTTCTAGTTTCTTGGTAGTCTAGTTTTTAGGGTTCCTTTTTTTTAAAGGGGATCTTTAAATGAGGTCTAGATTTCCGTAACGATTTTCTTGCAGTCCTTAGTAATTCTTAAAGGGGATCAAGTCTTCTAGATTTCTGCCAAGGATTTTTTGATTTCCTGGAAAGAATCCTCTGGTTTTTCTTCTTAGTCAGGAGATTTAGATTCTTCTGGATTTTCGAAAAGATTTTTTCCTTTCCATCGATTTTCCCCCCTCCTCAGATTGAAAGTCTTGTAGATTTCCGAAAGTTTTTAGGTTCTTTGTGAACTTGTGGTCAGTTTATTTTCTTCAAAGCTGCCAAAGGATTTTCTGGTTCTTTTATTTTTTACTTAAAAACAAGTCTTGTGGATTTTCGTCTGGAAATTAAGTCTTCTAAAAACTTCAAAGAAATTTCAAAGTAATTTCAAACAAATTTTTAAACAACCTTCGCTTTTTTAATTTAGAAGCAAATTCTCTAATTCTTTTAAATATCCGTTCAGTGCTCGAAGTAATTTCACTTCCCTTGTTGCCTTTTATCGACTCCCTACGAAAGAAAATCTAATTTCTTTTTTCCCTTGAAACACTAATGTCACAATTTTCCTTTCGCTATACGGAAATGTTTGTTATTTTAGGTCAATTGTAATCCGAATAGTATCCCTCTTCATTAGGACGGCACTCATCATATTCCCTCGGATTCAATTGATGAAACTTGATCCTCTTTAGTTATTTGTCTTTGATTAGAAATGTTATTCTCATCGATATGTTTTTTTTGCTCCAATGTAATTAATTTTATTAATTGTATTAATTTTATCAAGCACCTTTTTTACTTCTATTTCCTTTTATTTCCTCTTTCGTTACATTTATTTTAATTCATTTCGATATGTTTCTTTTGGCGAAATTACTTTTTTATTTTTAATGGTCTTTCGGTGAATAATTTCGTAATTTATCACCACAAATTACTCTTTTGTTTTTATTCCTCTTTGTCTTTATTTGGAAATATTTTCTCTATTTATTCTCTTTGGTGTGTTGCATTTTATTATCTCCACTTGTTTTTCTTTTTTCCCCACTGATATTTTTTTTGTAGTTTCAAAAAAGGGATGAATTTGGACACAAAATTTTAAATTAACAAAAATTCACTGTTTAGATTATTTTCTTGATAAGGGTAATAATAATGCGAGAGGGGAGGGGAAAAATTTCAATGTCTAGGTTAATGATAAGCCTCGATTTGTTTACACACAACACACACGACACCACTGAGATTCCCACTCTTTAAAGCCGAGAAAGCCACCACCCTCGTCCTACCGTGCGAAGTCATCGTCCTCCGAAGCACTTTTTTTCTATTTCGAAAAATAAAAACAAAATCGCCCTTTTAGAAATTTTTTTTTTCAAATTGAAAATTAATTTTTTTTTCTTTAATTATAATTTCCAAATTTTTGTTTTAAATTGACAACTAAAAAATGGCAAAAAAATTCGTTTTTCCCCAAGAAATTTTTTTAAAGAAATTGAATAAAATTTACAAATTTATTAAAGAGAGAAAAAAAATTGTTGTTTTGGCGAATGATTGAATGAGAGAGAAAGGAGAGAAAGAGAGAGTGACTTCGCGTCTGAACGAAACGGTTAAAACCGCGTTCGAGCGAACACTGAAAAGCGACGACTTGAGCTAGCCAGTTGCGGGAATCCCCTCTCGTTTCCTCCTTTTCTTTCCGTCCCTTTTTCCGTACTAGTTGTATGTATATATGTGTATATGAACCTCTCCCTTGTCGAGGCGATCTTTGTCTAACCGTTCCCTGCCAACCCACAAACCACCCATGGCGCTTGCGCTTTTCGGCTATATACAATGTTTTCCAAGCTCCTCCGCACCCCTATGAGAATTATACCTATATATATATATATATATATATATATATATATATATATATATATATATATACATTCTTATCTTCTTTTGCCAAAAAAATGTTGTTGCACCCAAAACTTGAGAGAAGAGACACAATTATATTTTATATACTACATTTTGTGTGCCAAAAAAGTTTTACAAATTTTCTTCCACTTGTTTTTTTATTGCCGATAATTATTTATATTGAAAAAAATTGTTTCTTTTATGGTTACTTTATTTTTTATTTATTTTATTATTTATTTCATTTACTATTTATTTTATTGATTGTTTATTTTATTTAATTAATTATTTGTTTTATTATTTCATTCATTTACTATTTATTTTTAATTGGCGAGAGTTTTTATTTTTCTATTTATTTTATTATTTATTTACTTTATTATTTATTTTTTAAATTATTTATTCATTTTATCATTTATTTCATTTACTATTTATTTTTAATTGGCGAGAGTTTTTATTTTTCTATTTATTTTATTTTATTATTTATTTACTTTATTACCTATTTATTTTTTTAATTATTTATTAATTTTATCATTCATTTAAATTTACTATTCATTTTTATTTGGCGACAATTCGACTTTATTTCTAAATTTAAAATGTGCGATTTAAAAAATTTCCCCATGAGAAGGATCGAACCCTGAACTTCTTATTGCTAGTCGGCGGCCTTAACCACTAGACCATTTCACTTTTAATCTGGAACTTCGAACAAAATGAAATTGAAAAGAATTATTTTTGTATTATTTTTTTATTTACTTATGTGAATAAAATTAGAAGAATAGAGAAGAATTAGAAATAGTGTAAAAAGAGGATAAAATAGAATTAAATAGAAAAAAGTGAATAGAATAAAAAATTAAATAAATAAAAGTAGAAAAATAATTATTATTATTATGATGTTTTTTTTAATATTAATATTATTAACAATAAATGAAAACAAATTTGTTAATTATTTTTTATTAATTTTTTATTGATGTAGAAAATACTAATATATTAATAGAAATTACTATTTATCAGTAAAATTTACTAATTTATAAGTAGAAAATTTTAATTTTTAATTTTAATTAGTAAAAATGTTTACTAATGTATAATTTGAATCAGTGACAAACTTTTTCTTCTGAATTAGTAAATTTTACTAATAAATTAGTAGAAATTACTATTTATTAATAAAATTTACTAATTGAGAAGTAATAAATTTTAATTTTTAATTTTTTTGTTTGAATTAGTAAATTTTAATTTATAATTTTTAATTTGAATTGTTAAAAATGTTTACTAATCAATAATTTAAAGTCGTGACTGACTTTTGCTTTTAAATTAGCAAATTTTACTAATAAATTAGTAGAAATTACTAATTATTAGTAAAATTTACTTATTGAAAAGTAGAAAGTCAATCACTAATTTAAATTAATAAACATTTTACTAAATTTAATTTAGAGATTATATTATAAAATTAAATCAGATTAATAAATGTAAATATTTGAATAGTAATACATTTTTTATTAATTTTATATTTATTTTAATTAGAAAATATAATAAAATTATAAATAGTAAAATAGAAAAATAGTAAAAAAGTAGAAAAACAGTAAAAAAATAAAAAAATAATTATATTTATTTTTATTGTGAATTATAAATATTAATTAATTATGCACAATTAATAATAAAAATAATTTTTTTTTAATCATAAATATTAGTAACAAAAAATTTGTTTTTCTATTATGTTAAATATTAACAAAAAAAATTTTTTTTAATAATACAAAGAAAAAGGAACAAAGAAATGTATAGAACCTTTCGATTTTCATGTTCACATTAATTTTTACATCATAAAGAATTTTTTTTTTTATTTATTGAAAAGCACAATTAAAATTAAGTTATAATTTAAAATGGTGAAATTTCCTCTGTAAATAATAAATGTATTCTATATTGGATATAAATATATTTTTAACGATATTTTGTATGAGGAAACTTCATTTGTAATAAAATGTATTACAATCATAATTAATATACGAGAATTTTGTTCCAATCGAGACAGGAAAATATTCTCTTTGTTAAAGTTTGAAATTCGTTTTTGATTATTTGTGATGAAATGAAAAATATTATCACGAATTATTTTGAAGGTTTTAATTTAAAAATAAGAGAGAGAGAGAGGAAAATTAAAATATTATTATTTAGTAATGCAAAGTTAATTGTGAATTATATTTATAAAAGGAATAATTGTAAATTAATTTGAAAACTATTTTCAAATTATAGCATAATTTGAAAATAGTTTTCAAATTAATATTCTATTAAAAAAATAATTATAGAAAAGCAACTGTTTGGAAATTTTTTTTAAGAAACTTATTTTAAATTATAAAAATATATTTGGAAATTAGTAAAAATTAGTTAATATAATTATTTTAATTTATGAAATAATTACTTAGCTATTCATATTGATCTCGAATTCTATTTTTTGTCTAACGATTTAAAAAAAAGAATTAGTTTCTGTCCTTATAGAATTTTTTTTTTTATTGGGAATTTTTTTTATTATTTTTGCTATTTTATTGTATTTATTTATTTTACATTAGAAACGGGCTTAACAATTTTATTATTCTACTATTTTATTATTTTACTATTTTATTATTTTATTATTTTATTTTTTTATTATTTTATTATTTTATTTTATTATTTTACTTTATTATTTTATTATTTTACTATTTTACTATTTTACTATTTTATTTTTTTTATTATTTTATTATTTTATAGTTTGTTATAATTTATATTACAATTTTTATTTTATATATGAAACGAAAATATATTTTCCAAATGAAAATACATTTTTCCCAATTGAAAGCGTATACATATGAGTAAAGAAAATTGTATTGTCGACATGTCGCACGTAATTCGTATCAGGGAAAAATATTTTTTTCCATATACACTTTTTTTTATTTTTCTAACGTTACACTCTTTTGCCATACGCAGCCTCTCTCTCTGTAACCTTTATCGAACCCTTGAAAAACATTTTTATATTCAAGTTTCTGATATATCATATGGCTTTTACTTTTTTTCTATGTAGACATATCTATCGATGAGAGATACACATAGAGACAAATTCTTTTTAGGATTTATAGAATAAACTTTATTTCATTTTTTTTCACTCATGCTTTTCCTGCGAAGAAAATCCCAAAGTAAATAAAAAAAGGTTGCTTTTCTAAAAGTATATTTTTACAAGCATAGAGACTTGTTTTTCATATATAAATATTATTATTAAAAAAAATTTTCACATTGAATTTTAAATTTAATTTTTTTAAACCTGTTGGGATTTTTTTTTTATTGGTTTCTGAATTTTATTTTTCATTTTATTTATTCATTTTATAAATTTAATTATTGGTTCTTTAATTTTTGGAAACAATTTTATTTCCCGACTGTTTAAATTTAATTTTCGGTTTATCAATATTTGATTTATAAATTTTTGATTCTTTCATTTTATTTCTCGATAATAATTTTTGGTTTTTAATTTTATTCATTGACTTTGTAAATTTAATTTTTTAATTTTTTACTTTTTAAATTTTCGATTTTTTAATTTTTTATTACGAAATTTTTTATTTCTCAGTTGTATTTCCTGGGTTTTGAATTTAAATTTTTCGTCTAATAATTTTTGTTTTAATTCTATTTCTTGGTTTTTAAAAAAAATTCTTTTGTTTTCGTATAAGAGAAGAAAAAGTAAAGTTTCTAAAAAAAAGAAGTAAAAACCTTGATTCTTGAATAACAAGAACAATTCTCGTGATTATTTATTCAAAAACTGAATCATTTGCATGAGAAAATAAATGTAAAATTGAAAATGATGTATCAGAATTACACATGTAGATAATATATAATTACTATTCTGATGTAATTTAACGCGAGGCGCGTAAACCATAGAATTTGTCATCATCGCACTTCTCAACTACAATATGATAATATTTCTCATTTTCCCCTCGCAAGAAGAATCATCTTATTACTGAATTCATTTCCATTTGAGTATTTTTATATTTTTACAAGTTGAAACGACTTTTTTTTCTATCAACTTCGATTCCATCAGGAATTTTTTGACCTAAATTTAGAAATTAAGATTATTTTTTTACATTTTCATCGTTTTTTTCTGTAAATTCTAAAGTTAATTTCTTTACATTTTGTAAAATAATTTTAGACCTAAGTTATCATTTAGTTTCGTTTGGTTAATTTTCGTTCTAATTTTTTTACCTGAGATAAATAATAAATTAACAATAAATTAACAAAATAAATTAATTAGTTCAATTTTTTTTATTTGTTTATTTATTTTTTTATTTTTACATTTTACACATATTTTTAAGCATTATATTATAATAACTATGACTATAATTATAATAGTAGTTATTTATTTTATATTCATAAAAAATAGGGTCTTGAAAAATTTTGTCGAAAAAATTCAATTATTTTCTCAAATTTTAATAAAATTCAATAATTAAATGTTTAATTTCAATTATTAACAGACATTATTATTTTAAAAGTTTTAAAGTAAATGTTCATAAAAATCAATTATTTTTTAAAATTTTAATAAATTCTTAAAAAAAAAATTCAATTATTTTTTAAAATAGTAAAATCTTTGCAAAAATTCAATTATTTTCAAAAAAATTGTAATAAAATTCTTTACAAAAAGTCATTTTACAAATAAGAAAAATCTTCGTAAAAAATTCAATTATTTTTATATAATTAATAAAATTCTTATCAGAATTTCACTCATTTTCAATTCCGTTTTTAATCGATTTCTTCGAAAA